TATATTTCAGCTGGCTGCAGTTTTATCTGTTGAGCAAGACATTTTGTGATTGAGGTCAGATTTAAAAAGCTGCAGTTTCCAAACTGTATGTGAAAGTGGTTGAATTTAGTACAACACAGAGCAGTCACCCAACAGTAATAATGTTTGCTTTAGGTAAGATAGTGTTGTACGGTTGGTGGAACTCTTTTTCATGTTGATGAACAGTTGCTTATGCAAGTAGTTCCATTACTCTTGTAATCAAGTGCTGATCACAGTGAGTTAGCGTGGCACAATCTGGACCTGTTTGTTGAAAGATTACAGGTGTACTGTGAGATTGACTATTTGAGTGTTTTAAAGAGGAACTATCATAACTAGATTTTTTTTCCAAACATCATAATACATTTTTGCTTTATTCATATGTCAAAATAAATATTTTCCAATTTATTATACTATAGTTATTTGTTTTCAAACAAGGACTTGCTCTTCCTGGGCTTGTTTATATTAGAAATTTAGTTTTGCTTTTAATTCAAGTTGAGTGATAGTTCTAAATAGGAATTTTCATCAGTTTTGCTTTTCATCAATAGATGTTCATATCATGTCCCCATTACAGAAAGGGAAACTGAGGAAAATAGAAGCAGTGACTTGTTGCACCTCACTATAGGCTGAATCCTGGCATCAGTCATGATCAGGAGCAAACATTTGCGAGTATTTACATTAGAAATGCATTGTAGCATTAGCTCAGTCAAACTGGTGATCCGTTAACTTCCGTTAATGTTACAGGATGAACAAGGCTTCTAGTGTAGACAATACTCCCCAGACCAGCTTCTTCTTTTTATCATGTTATGAAGTCACAAAATGCTCAGCTTAAGAAAATGTACAGATTTCTGTTTCAGTAGACTGTGTTGCAATTAGAGGTTTGACTTCATTGCAGGACCCAAATGTGAGGGAGAAATAGAACCTGGATATCATACTTGATTTATTCCTTTGGAATCAGGGCTGTGGAGCTCTGATGATAGAAAACCTTATCAAAGCAGAAGTGCAATATCATCAGGTGCATGTAGCTTCCACTTCACTGGGCATGGATACTGGTTATAACAACTTAGAGAGTAGGGTGTTTGACCACATCTCTAGGACAGCCCCAAAAAGGATGCGCTGTTGGAGTTCTGTACAGATCTTCCCATCTCCCTACAAAAAATACATGGGAGTGCAGGCAACAGAGGAATGGCATGTATCCTTTCCTAGGACTGGATTTTTATATTAATGTAGGTGTCCTGTGGAAGAAGAGAGATATCTCTCCCCCACTCACAAATATAAATCAGGTGCAGTTACTGTTAATAGCATGGGACAATAAACATACTTTTAAAAATAATATTTTCTGTTTTACTCCAGCAGGAAAACCTCCTTTTTCATTGGAGGTTTCTAGTTTCATGTTTGCATTTTCAGTTGTGCTAATAGTCTCCGGATACTTCTTCCATGATTAGCTATTCTGTATGTTGTTTTCTACTTGGATTTTCATTTTTTTGGCAAATAGGAAGACCAAAAATGACAGTGAATAGGATCGTGATTTATTATAGGAAGGAGTCAAGTAAGATAAGCTCAAACTGCTTAAAGTCATTTAAAATTGAGGCTTATTTATGGCTGGTCTTTACTATGAATTCTGGGGAAAATCTTGCACTGACGGGGATAGACTGAATTAACAAAACATTTTTCCATCAGTCTTTGCTACTGCTCTGTCATCCACATAAATAGTGCTTAAATTGGAAGTGTGTTCTCGTTCCAAGAGTCCAATATGGTCTTTAACATTGTGGTCTCAAAGTGATGCTTATGAAAATTTTGTCTCTGTAAATTACATTGTGAGAAGGGACAGATTTGTTTGTAACAGTTTTCTCTTGTACCAGAAATCATCTTTTCTCTCTCTCCCCCTCCCCCTCGACTTTATTGTGTGTGAACCTCTGCAAATATGAAAGAGCAAAAGGCGAGAGTACTACATTTGAGATATGTGAAAGATTCTTGGATACTGCATGAGAAGTGGTCACAAATATTTGTTCAAATTCTGAACAGCTATTTCATTTCACTAGATTTGTGCCTTTTTGTTGGTGCTGCTTACCAGCATTTGTTCATATGAGCTGTTGGTTTGGATGAATGGTTGAAGGATGTCTGCCCTTTGTAGACTTATACACCATTTAAACAGAACTTTGCCTTGAATTGGTCTTGTGTTAACTTGTGTTAAGATTGCCTTGAATTGGTCTCCACAGAGGTGAAGGTCACTGTGTATGAATACTTATGTCCATATAGGAGCAAGAGTATATTTGCTGTTGTGCATCATTAACTCTTTGTTAATCATTATTGTTATACTCCTGGAGAAGTTAAATAAAACATTGAAATACTTTAGCTGGAAGTTTTCAATGTAACACGACTTCTTCATTTCTTCACATACGAATCAAATCCAGAGATGCACAAAAGAGGCTGCTCCCTAATATAGAGAGTCACTTTCCTCCAGGCTGCTTCTCTGCAGACTGACAGCTGAAGATCCAGATCATCAACTTCCCTATGGAACTCTTTAGTCTTCATATAGGACCAGGAAACTTATTACGTTTAAAGTGATATATTGAAATCTTTTTTAAATTTTAGGTTAACACAATTATTCTCTTTCATAATCTCTTTCGCTCCACTCAGAGAGCAGAAACAATATCATGGGACTCAAGCAACCAATCAGATACCATAGACACAAAATAATTAATGTGAGCAGTTTGTCAGCACCCTAAAGGATTACATTTGTTTGCATATATTACATGATTTAAATATTGTGAAACATAAACAGTTATATAGCCATATTTACCCTATGGGCACTACAATGGCATGGCTATGCTGACATAGCTTTGGTTATATCTACACTACAGAGTTTTAAAAAAAAACTTGAGTTGCGTCCACACTGCAATCATGTTCTTTCGAAAGAAAATTTTAAAAAAGAGGTTTTTTTCCGACATTGGTAATCAATCCTCATTCTATGAGGACGAAGCCTTTTTCCGAAAGAGCTATTTCGGGAAAAAGGCGTGCATGGATGGGGAAGAAGGAGTTCTTTCGAAAGAAGAGGAAGGAGGAAAAAGCACAAGTGCCCTGTTGGCCATTCCGCCCATAGTAATCACAGATTACATTGGAGATAGCATCCATTCAGTGTGAATGCTATCCGTCGAAAAAGCAGATTGTTTTTTCAATGTGCTTTCACAGTGTGGATGCTCTCTTTTGGAAGAAGCTTTTCCAAAAGATCTCTTCTGGAAAAGTTTCTTCTGAAAGAAACCTGCAGTCTAGACATTGCCTATGTTGCTATAACCTTTAGCGTGGATACAGACTTCTTCAATGGAAGAGATTTTTCTGCCACTGTAGGAACTCCACTTCCATGAATTATAGTGTCTAGTTCAATGGAAGTATTATTCAATCAGCCTACGTGCGTCTACATTGAGGATTAGGTTGTAATAGCCATAGATTATTCACATGGCTAAGTATCGTGTAATTATGTCAGCTCTGTTTTAAAGTAGACCAGTCATGGGAAATTGCAAATGATTCTTCAAAGACAAAAATGGTTAAATTTCTCAATTATAAAGAATGAATATAGTTATAAAGAATAATTTTTCTTTCATAAAATTTCATATTTCATAAAATTTAATCATAAAATATAATTGAACTAGCTGTAATAAATGTTTACTGTATTATCTTAAATTTCAACTTTTTCTAAATAATTACAACAGAATGAATATATTGTCACTTTGAAACATATAGTTTACAAAGTACCTGAATAGCATATGCTTTGTTCTTCTATCATCTAGATGTACTTCTGTGTGTTTTTCAAAACACCTGTGAATAATTAGATCACTTTTTTTTTTTAATCTTTTGGTTAAGTCAAGGACATAAGTGTATTTCATTAGAAGTAGAAAAAATATTTTATGAAAGCGTACTAAGAATGGAAAATAAGTTTAGAAGTAGCATTTCTACCATTGGGTGTTATATAGGTACAACCTGCAATGGAAATAAGGGGAGGACAAAGGAGTGTGGTATTTTTTTCCAATTTTGTAGTTCCTTCCTATTTTCTTATTGCTGTATTTAATTTAAGAGTTGAAGAAAAGTACCAAATAGGCTGCATTTTTCAGGAGAGGTTTTGAATCAGAGTATACAAAGTTTGTGTGTGTGTGTGTGTGTGTGTGTGTGTGTGTGTGTATAATTATAGTTATAGATTGGAAAATAGAAAACTAGATTAGAGGAACTTAGATAGTAGGAGAGCACATTAGATGTATGGTATATAGGGAATCCTCTTAGTATAAAATACATGAAATGGTAGAGTGAATTAACCACTTACATCTTCAGGAATAAACAATTATAATATCTTTATCCTATAAATGACCCTATTTTAGATTTGGTTGAGGAGCAGCCAGATATCTCAAGAAAATACTCACAAATAGAGAATATGTGGTTCAAGATAAGTGGATAACTGCTATTTGCTACCTGAATCTTTAGTAGTTTGTGTAAAAATCGTTCATATAGGTTTGTGTGTTAACTTTGATTATATATCCATAATGCATCCAATTCTGAGATACATTCTTAAATATGGATTTTCTTGAAAGTCAAATCTGTGATCTTCTACAGTACTGTAGTTTTGGATTCAAAAAATCATCTTGTATAAACTGTGATTAACTCATTCAGGTTCAGCTACGCTATGAGGCAAATTATGATACTGAAGGATAGTTCATACAGAGTCTAACTGGTAGATTAGCCATAGGGAAAAAATACAGAATTTCATTGCAGAGAGTCTAAAATTGTATTTCCTTTGTCTTCAGATAACAGGACTAACCACTTGTTTAAAAAAAAGTTTTAGGGAAGAAGGAAAAAGAAATAGTGTTTCATAAAACTGAATATTAAGATGCTTCACTTCCAGGAAAGTGATAAAAGTGATTGTGAACAAAGCTTTGTTTGTTTGCCTTTACTATGGCAGCCCTTTATCGCTGTTTTGCATTCTGATTTCCATACAGGTGGTTGACCAGATTGACACATTGACATCTGACCTGCAGCTGGAGGATGAGATGACAGACAGTTCCAAAACTGACACGCTGAACAGCAGCTCAAGCAGCACAACAGCATCCAGCTTGGAGAAAGCCAAAGTGCGTGCCAATGCACCTCTCATCAAGCCCCCAGCACATCCGTCTGCTATTCTCACTGTCCTGAGGAAACCCAATCCACCACCACCTCCACCACGATTGACTCCTGTGAAGTGTGAAGACCCTCAAAGGCCAGTTTCTTCTGCTAACCCTGTAAAGACAAATGGGACCCTACTTCGAAATGGAGGTTTACCAGGAGGACCAAACAAGATTCCAAATGGGGATGTATTTTGCATACCTAATAGTAACTTGGACAAAGTTCCAATGCATCCTCTGATTCATAGACCTGATAAAGACAGGTGTCCTCAGACAGGAACACGGGAACGGGTACGATTTAGTGAGAAAGTGCAGTACCATGGCTATTGCCCTGACTGTGACGTTCGGTATAACATTAAAAACAGGGAGAGCCACTTACATAGTGAGCCGGCACCAATACTGGGAAAGCTTCCTCACCAATGTCCTCCCTTACCGCCACCTCCTCCCCCTCTCCCTCCAGTTCCTCTAGAAAATGGAGGGTTGGGAATAAGCCCCAGTAATAGCTTTCCCCCTCTCAGACCTGCGACTGTGCCTCCACAAACTGCACCAAAACCCCAAAAGACCATCTTGAGAAAATCCACCACTACAACAGTGTGATGTGTGCCACTTGAAAAACTGTTTGTTTTTTCCTATATATAAACATAAACAAATAGATAATGAGCACTTTCTACTCAAGCAATAAAAAGCCCAAATATATTACATCCTGTGTTCAGCGAAGTGGCATAGAAACCATATGGTAAGTACAAAGAAAACTGTTCACCAATGTCACATGTATGCACCAAGGAATTTGATTATTAAAAGCTGCAGTATAATGAGCATGCTATAGGTCATGGTCTGGTAAAAGTGATTGCAGCTGAACAGTGCTCTAACTATGGCCTAAGCAATGCTAAAAGTTCATCTCAGAAACATCGTATCTGAAGTAGCAATGAGAGGTGAAATTAAGTCTTCATCAGACAATAGGATAATTAGTACTGTGAGGCAGTGCAGGAAACTTTTAAAATACATTTTGTAGGAACATAAAGTATGATTATGTGGAGCAAAGTGCAACTCCAGCTCACAATTCTTGATTGAATCTTTCTCCGTCTCTCTTTCTCTTCTCCTCCCCCTCCTGCCTCTCTCTCCGTCTCTCTTTCTCTTCTCCTCCCCCTCCTGCCTCTCTCTCCGTCTCTCTTTCTCTTCTCCTCCCCCTCCTGCCTCTCTCTCCGTCTCTCTTTCTCTTCTCCTCCCCCTCCTGCCTCTCTCTCCGTCTCTCTTTCTCTTCTCCTCCCCCTCCTGCCTCTCTCTCCGTCTCTCTTTCTCTTCTCCTCCCCCTCCTGCCTCTCTCTCACTCTCTCTTTCTCTTTTCCTCCCCCTCCTGCGTTTCTCTTTCTCTTTCTCCTGCATGGGGAGCGCGGGCTGTTTGCACCATTTGCTCCCGCGCGGCAGCCCAGCTGAGCAGCTGCCTATGAGCTCCAGCTGCCCCCCTGTACCATTTCCCTTCACCCCAGCACTGATCCTGCAGCCTCCCAGTTGTCCTCCACGTCCCTCTGCCCCTCGTTCCCCCGCACTCTGCCCGGCCAGGCTCAGTGCCCAGCCCCCACTCACAGGTGCTGACTGGAGGACTGAGCAGGCGGCAGCCATGGAGCAGGCGGCTAGAGAGAAGCGGCACTTTCCCCTTAAAAGTGGAAAAGTGGATTTGCTCCACATAATCATACTTTATGTTCTCTCCAGCTGGCTGTGCAGCCTGCTCCTCCAGCCCACGCTTCCCTCCCGGGCCCACTCCAGGTTGCAAATTCTCCTGGGCTGGTTGGAGCAGACATCAGCACAGTAAGGACATGACGGAGGCTCCAGGACCCGCCCCCTGGCCATGTATTTCAGCACCCCGCCCCCCTTCACCTCCCGCCATGGCACTCAGCTGACTTCTGCGCTGCTCAGCCGGGCCACCACAGGGGAGTAAGCAGCGCAAGCGTCCATTTGGGGTCCACACTCCCTATGCAGCATGGGGGTGCTGCATGGGGAGCGCGGACCCCAAACTGCCACTTGTGTTGCTTGCTCCTCCGTGGCGGCCCGGCTGAGTGGTGCAGAAGTCAGCCGAGTGCCACAGCAGGAGGTGAAGGACGTGACTCGGGCAACAGCGCTGCCCAGAGGGAACAGCCAGGGAGGCAACAGCACCGCCCAGAGGGAACAGCCAGCATTTCAGCGTTACAGAGTCACAGACATTGGGCTACTATATCTTAACAAATGAGTTTTTATATTCCTGGTTACTTGAATCAAGGGTATCCGATTTGAAGCTGGGCATTATGGTGTAAATCCTCACAGTTTCAGCCAGCTTGTTCTTTGGCTTAGAGATGAATAGGCAATTGGAAAGCATGTGTATATGATTGAGGCAAAATAAACAGTAGTCATGTTTGGTTCTGAAATACTCAATAATCAAAAAAGAGAGAGAGTAGTACCATGCTTTTGAAAAGAGCAGGCATGACTTGACCAGTTATTTTCTGCTTCCTGTGTTCCATCTCATCTGGGGATAATACTTACCTTCCTAACATGGATAAGACATGTACGGTAATGAGTTAGAGCCAAGTGCTGAAGTCCTCACATAAGGTTTCCTCTTGCAAATTTCCTATTAAGGGCAGTGGAAATTGTGCGTAAGGTCTTCAGGGATGGGTGCTTAATACTTGTAAAGAGCTTTGAAGATGAAAAGCACTGTGAAATTATTAACATGCACAAGAAGACATTTCTCTTGTTGTGACATTTTGGTGGCTAACCCAATTAAAATTCTTACAGTGTGAAAACCCTCCAACATCTTTTAATTGTTTTACAGAAAAGAACATTTGTTATGAGGACTAGCAGTGTTGGCATCTGGGGTTTTAAAAACAGGCAATTGGTAAAGGAGATATAGTAAGCTTTTTCTTCACAAAGTCCCTCTACAAACAAGCTTGCAAATGACCTGAACACCAGAATGTCAGCAGATGTTACTTGAGTTAAACACAAATACGCACTGGCTGTTTAGCTCTGTAAGGTCCGACAAGGTTGGCATTTGTGAAGTCTTATTAACCAACACAGAAATATGTCAGGCGCTTATGTTTGCATACAGCAATAGAAATTCGGCTGAAATTAGCCTTGAAATAGCTTGTCTATATTCACACTCTTATAGCATTTACTTTGCACCAAAATTACAAATATCCTGGCAAAATAATTACCCTTTTTGCATTGAATTGCTAAACCCTCATGAAACTTTTTTCAGATAGCAAATGCTGCACTTTGTGGAAATAAGCCTTTGGAGTTTAAAGACTCACCTTTGCGCTAAACTGTATCATGATGGTTTACCCAACCACCATGATACAGAGAAGTAATTATCTCATGAATTTGATCAGACTCTCCAAATGTTTCTATTGTTTCCCAGTCCCATCATTTACATAATTATGCCTTTACTATTTGTATGATTTCAGCATATTTAATCTCATGATAATCATAATTGGAGTAATTTTGAACCCCAAGTTTTCAGTAGGAACAAGGTACTCATTCTACTGATGCCCTTGATCTGCGAAGGTCACTGGAAATTCCTCTGCCCTGCCCATGATGCTCTACAGCAGCTCCTCCTTCCTATAGGAATTTACATTTAAAATACAGTTACACTATGTGTGAAACACACAAAACACAACTACATAGTGGTTTCCATTAAAAAGGAAAGATGGAATGTGATGCTGCCTCTGTTGTAAGCCATATGTACCCATGTGCAATATTTTACTCAGTAAGAAAAATCTCTCGTGCTAAAGGAATTGCATTATGCGCATATCCAGATGTAGGTACAACCAAACAGTGGTGTGCTTATATAAGATTTGAGCAACTTCTTAAAATACTTTTGAAAAAACATAATACTCGTCTCTCCTTAGGTTTTGTTCTATTCCCTTTTCCGTTCCTTTCACTCTACCTTGGTGCATCTCTTCCTGCATTTTCTTTTCAGTACCTGTTCTTCACACATCTATCATTGCTGTTTGAAGTATTTTTAAAAAAATCCATTTACTTTTTCTCTGTCTTTTCCCCCTCCTTGCTGGCTGAAGACTTTTTAAATTTTTTTCTTACCTGTGAAGCTTTTCCAGTTTAAGAATTATCTGCATTCTAGCTTGTTCCTACTGTGATAATATCGCTATGCTGGGCTCTTATTCCTACTATGTCTTTCCCTTATCTTTGTCCTAGGTCTAGTTGCAGCAGCTGCCAAGCCTACTAAGATGGCTTCTGGCAACCATTGCTCTGACACCACTTCCTCAAAATGATTAATGCATCAGACAAGTGGTTTGATAACTTTTCTGCCTCTCAAAATGGTTCCCTCTTTCCTTTCCAAACCTGAACTGTGCTTATGCATTGACATTCCTTTGTTCCTTTTCTAGAACTCAAATGTACATAAGGTGAGATGGGAGTTGTGACATTGATTTCATGAATCCAGGATTTCACCTCCATTGTTATCTCCCTTCAGCCATTTCTTTTTCATACAACATTTTCGCTACTGATCGGTTCTGTCAGAAAACTTTACATCAGAAAAAAGTGCAAAATAATTAGGATTTGCTACCATCCAAGACTGAGAATTCAGACCTCAAATAGCAAACTAAATTCTACTTTTCTTATCTGTTGAACAAAAGAGGAAAGAAAGAGAGAGAAAAGAATATACAAGTGATAATATAATGTAGTTCTATAATTCTTGGCTGAGTTTGTAGAACAATGCATGACTTAAGAGTCAAGCATTTCACATTTCATTCAGATAGCAGCATTCATTGCTAATCACATAAAATAATAGTCTTAAATTAAGTGAAAATTTCATATTGCATTTTTCAAATAAAATGTTAATTAAAAAGTTATCTCTTATTCTAGCTGCCACTTTTTCAGTGTAAGATCAAAATCATAATATTTATTTTTTCTCCTGGAAATTGGAGAATTTTCTGATTACAGTTAAAATTTGTGTACTGTAAGTGAATCTTAGTCATTAATGTGAAAATTGTTAGATGTTACTCTAGATAAACTTTTAGTATGCGAGATAATATTTATTCTCTGTCCAAATTGCAGGTTCAAGGGGAGGCTAGCTGACTAGAGACCTAGGGTCCTAGTGAAAGATTTTTTACTTTTTGAGTCTGGCTCAACTCAGTTCTTCTCCAAGCTATGAGATCCACAGCTTTCCCTCCCTGTGTCTGTCCCTAGACTCTGCAGGACCCAGAAGATATCCTTAGATGTCCTACTTAGCCAGTTGAGATGCCTTTCCCCAGTTGAGGTAGTTATTGTGCATCTCACGGAAGTACTCAACATCTGCAGAAAGGAAAGGTCTGAGAGGAACTTTTACCTTCCAGCCAAGGCTTTCCACCCTGAGTATTTTGCTTAGCCCAGTTGCTGAAATTTGAACCTCACATACTCACATTCCGTTTCCCATCTGCTTTCTTTCTCATTCTGCTTCTAGAAATCTTTTCTGGTCACTTTCTGTTAGCTTTGAGTACTTGTTAACAAAACAGACTTTTCCCTTTACCACTTCCACTCAAAACACTATGTTATTGAATTAAATATTAAATTTTCACGTAAGATCACAAAATGACCTGGCTTGTGTTAAGTATTTAATAGGTCATAGTTTAGATTTCAAAATAGTTTAGGGAATTTACGCATAACTTCCATTAACTTCGATAGAAAATGTGTCCAAAAGTGTTTTGTGTCACACAGCAGGTATTTGTGTGTATGTTCATACGTCCAGGTATCTGTGTTCAAATCCTAACTTTATTGCAGACTCCCTTTATTACCTACTCTCCCTTTATTATGTTCTTAATCTTCCTCTGTCTTAATTTTCCATCTGTAAAATGGCAATAATAGTAATTGTCTTCTCCCACATTATTCCTGACATGTCTGCATAGAATAGACTGAATTCTGTCTGAGTTGTCTCTCGTGAGTTTGCACAGTGACCATTTGCCCTGATATCAGTTGAGGTCTCTAATAATCTGTAATATAAGTCAATGGTGTTCACATTGCAGGTTGCAACCCAGTACTTGGTCATGGAATGTCAGGCACTGGGTCTCGTTGCTGCAGGGGGATCAGGTGACCAGTAGGTGTACTAAGGCAGGCTGCCTGCCTATCCTGGCACCTCAAACTGCTCTGTGCCCCAGAAATGACCTGCAACTGGCCTGGCTCATAGGTGGGGGAGAGATCACACAGGGCTCAGTCCACTGCCCTTTCCCTGAGCACTAGCTCTTCACTCCCATTGGCTGGGAACCTGCTGCCAGCTGCTTCTGGGGCACAGAATGGCCTGCAGTGCCAGGAGAGACAAGAAGCCTATTTTAGCACCCCCCACTGCACTGCTGACCAGAAGCCACCCAAGATAAGCCTCTCCTGTCACAGCTCTGACCTCCCACAAAGCTGGAGCTCCTCCCACACAACAAAGCTCTCATCCTCAGCCCCACCCTGGAGCCCACACTCTAGTCAAATTATGTTAAGCATAAGCATGAACAATGTTCTGCAACTGGGTCATGAGAAAATAGTTTCTGATATAAGTAACAATTAAAGTGTGAAAAAGCATATATTTTCTTGGGGAGAAACACCAAGTCATGGACATAATTTTAGCTTCTTTGTATTCCCAGCAAAGGAATTATAAACCAGGGGGATAACTAGGAATAACAGCGCCTCTTTTGACAAATTTTAGCCCAATGTGGAGAGGCAAGATAGAGGAAACTATCAGTGGGGTGAGGAGCCTGCAATGCTCAGCCAGGGCCGGACTAAGGGGTGGGTGAACCTATGGGGGGCACCAGATGGCAGCTGTCAGGGGCACGAGGCGCCCCTTATAGCTGCCATCAGGCGCCGTGCGCCCAGCTCCTGCAGCGCCGGCCCCCCCATCCCCGTGGCGCCGGCCAGCTGCGCCCTTCCCCCAATGGCCATGGGGCCCTGCACAGCGTGGCCAGGCGCAGCCTGGCCCAGGCTGCCCAAAATGGCTCAGACTGGCCCTGCGCTCAGCACTGAATCCAGTTGTGTTACCCTTTTGCTCTTTCCTGTGCAGAGGAAATGCTTCTTGCTCAGATGCAGCTCTGTCGACAGCCACTACAGGGAGCAGCAGGGCAGATTCATGATTTGCCACATAGTCATTACGTACTGCTCTGTGTGTGCTTTGCATTTATGAAGCAAGTTTTGTCTTTTTTTGCGTAGTAGTTATTTAGTACACGTCAATATGAACGTCAGCATTAATTTACTTTGTTTCTGCCTTTGTATATAGTTTTTAAGATGGCATGCTGCCTTAAGCTAGAAATTAAGTTTAAAAGCATGAAAGGTTTAATGCCTCTGAAATTCTTGCTATTCTAGTCTACCTTTAATGTCTCAAAGCTGATCATATTATTTATTAAGTATACGATAAATGATGAACCAATATCTTCAATCTCTCAATACTTATCTGGTCTTTCTTCTGTTGTGAGTTATCCAGTTTTGATCTGAACTTTATTTGTCATGTTAAAATAAGTAAATTTGCAAACCTTTGCAGGCAATTAACTTTTTAAAGTTTTATAATGCTGTCTGGGAACCTGTGAGGAACAGTGCAATGTTATATCCAGCCAGCAGTGTATCTTAAATTTAAATCAAAATGTGAGGATGGAGAAGGATCTTCTAAACATGAACGTCACAGTATGTTTTACATCTTCCTGAGAAAGTGATAGAAGGTGAGCTATAACCAGAGTTTCAAAGGCAGATGATTTACTAAAATGAAACATCTTTGTGATAATATATAATATACTATAGAGGGGGTTACATTTTGAATTTCTGTAACTATATTTTAATATCATCAAAAAGGAAAAGCACTGAGTATTACACAAATGTAGTAACCATGGTGATAGCCATTTCAGTCTGTTACTCAACTTCAATCATTTATTGATACTTTAAAAGTCTGAATTGTAATGCTGAACATTCTCATGTCTAAATCCAGATGTCATGCTGTCAAAGAAGAATTGTAGTGTCTTCCGATAATTTAGTGTGGGTCTATGAAATAAATGTTGGAATTTAAAAATACAGAATATTTTTGAGTACTGTAATTGGTCAAGATTGAAGTGAAGTGAGGAGGCTTTTCAGAAAAAAAAGAACAAATAGCCTTTAAAGCTTTGGTTGAGCGAAGAGCCAGTGTTTCATTTCCACCTCTCACTTTGTTTGGACTAATGTGTATTTTGCTGATCATAGTTTACTGCTCATGGAAGTAGTCAAATTATCTTCAGATCTAATAATAGGTTTGTGATTATTTTATGTTCATGAAATAATGGAAAAAGTTCACCCAATTTTTTGGCTTCATTTGATAACTCAATCATTGGTTTTAGAGTAGGAAAAGTACAAAATATATTGTTTAATTACTAGACTGTATTGTATGGTTCTTTTGGAGCTGTGCAAACCCCTTATTTTTGCATATTCTATTTATAGCTCCTTTTTAATGCCTCCATAAAGAAAGTCTGAATAACTGTAGACTTAATTGAAGCAGAAATGTTGTAATTATGGTATGAATCATTACCCTAACTACATTTCTCTAGATTATATTTTAAAGTAAGTAACCTTACAGGGGGCATAGTTTTACTTTGATAGGATTTCCCTTTCAGGTTTGCATTTGTCAAAGGATCGGAATCCTCATTTTTGAAAGTATATAATGAAGAATTTATGCACAGCACAAGCCCAGACATAAAGCAAGAGTGGATACATAAAGAGGTTTTTTGTATAAAATACATCAAACTTCGATATGAAGGAATAATTTGAGGTAAAATTTGTTCTAAACCATCCATGCAGCAGAAGAATACAACTATGAAAAGAGCAATGTTTGGAATGCTTAATCTGAAAATTACTAGGTATCTATTATATACCTATATTGTATTTTATAGGGCAAAGTATGGCATATGACATTGTAATGACAAACTAGGTCCCTAGCATTTCTGTGTTTATTAGGATTGAATGTGCTATTGCATAATTTAAAACAGTGGCAGCACTGATGCTGTCAAGTAAGCACACAGCAGTACAGTTCATAAAACCTGCAGTGTAGTTACAGCTTTGTTGTTTAGCAGTTTTGTGGCAGTCTTGTTTTATGTGAAGCATAAGCTGGGATTTTATCATGCAGACTTGTCTTGTGATGCAGAAAGAGCTCACAGACAGTGGGCAGATTTGTTAGTTAATCATATTTTAACTAGATGGCTCATAGAAATTGTCATGAGGGTACACATTCCTTGACAAATTGTGTTGATTTCCTTTTTGGTTGCTGCAGATGAGCTGAACAGCGGATGGTGCCTCTGTGGCTTCCTGAGCTAAGCAGCTATTGGAATTGCTCCCCATGTTAAATGGCTACTTTAAATGTCTTACAACTCTCTGCTGTATATTGTGAATGAGCACCATATGGCATCCTCCTGTGGTGAAGGATGGGCACATTCATTCCTTGTTGACTGGCATGAAGAATTTACTTGACATTTACTTATGGTAAGTGTGTGTTTGTGTGTGCGCACACACAGACACATGTCAGATAATACCCCAGTGCTATTTGGTTGTGAAGTTCTTGATAACAAAGGCAAAGGTAGATATTTAGATGAGATGGGCTATTTTGCTTATGTACCTCGTGTTTACCATGCTGGCCACGCCCACTTACTAGGATTTGGCCGTGTTTTGTGACACCGCATCTTCTTCTTTTCATGGCTTTTGAAATTGTCTAAAATTTACCAGTGTTGATGTGGCTGGCCTTCTTCAGACTGTGATTCAAGTAAGAGCACCTAGACTGCTGAGAGGTATTGAAAGAGCTGAAACTTTTATTTTAGATCTTTAACAGCATGTCAGGTGCTCCTATTTGACAGTTATATATACTTGAAAAATCCAACCAAAGTCAAATCCTGAAAAACCAAACTATGATATTTAAATGTGATTTAGTCAATGTTTTGCTGCTCATATAATGGGGCAACTATCTACTAGGGTTTTCAAACTGAGCATTTTTGTGTAATTAAAAATGGGTATGCTTGTGAATCTTTATAAGAATCCCTCAGTTTAGGAGTCTTTCTCCTTAAAGAATCAAATCCAAGTACCAGACAGTATCTTAAAATAATGGCCCAGTGCATTATAAATTAAAATGCCCTGGGGGGATGGATAGCTCAGTGGTTTGAGCATTAGCCTGCTAAACCCAGGGTTGTGAGTTCAATCCTTGCAGAGGCCATTTGGGGGCAAAAATTTGTCAGGGATGGTACTTAGTCCTACTGTGAAGGCAGGGGACTAGATTCAATGACTTTTCAAGCTCCCTTCCAGTTCTAGGAGATAGGCAATCTCCATTAATTAAATTAAAAGCACTTAGTTGATTTAGCAGTGTCCAATAGTGCGTATTGGGTTCTATTGTCATAATCTTATATTTGAGTGTGTCTAAACTGCAGTGCAAGTCTCAAACTAGTGAGAAAACTCTGGATTAGAGAACACAACTCTAGGGTAAGAGTTTTCTATCCTGGGCTTGAACCTGGCCTTCTGGCATCCACAAACCAGCGCACAGATGTGAGTCCAACTAACTAAATCCTAGTCTTCCTGGCTTCCTCTCAAAATGTGGCTGCTCTGGACCTTTGGTTGTGGTAAAACTGTCTTCCTTGCACATTTCTGAAAGGCTTAGCAGCCCACAAACACATGCTACCAAGACATCATTTTGGTCAGTGTACTGCCAGCAATATGAAAAAGATCACACTATGGACTGGTGTGGGTTAATGGAAGAAGGGGAATAGCACCAGTGTGAATGTGCTTGGAGTGGGGGGAAAGGCACTCATTGCTTGTGAGGGATATCAAAGCTTGGAAGAGGGACATGGGGTTGATTACCATGAAATATACTTGTGAATGTTCTGGCCTCTCAACTGATGGGGAGAGGAAAGAGGCTGATTTACAGGAGGAATAATGCAAGATAGTGATTGAAGTGTCAGTGGGCTCGTCTACATTGGCCCTTTTTCCGGAAGGGGCATGCTAATTTTTCAGATCGTAATAGGGAAATCCGCGGGGGATTTAAATATCCCCCGCGGCATTTAATTTTTTCCGGCTTTTAGAAAAGCCAGAAAAGAGCGTCTACACTGGCCCCGATCCGGCCCGATCCTCCGGAAAAAAGCCCTTTTCTGGAGGATCTCTTATTCCTACTTTGAAGTCATAATCCTTCGAAGTAGGAATAAGAGATCCTCCGGAAAAGGGCTTTTTTCCGGAGGATCGGGCCAGATCGGGGCCAGTGTAGACGCTCTTTTCCGGCTTTTCTAAAAGCCGGAAAAAAGCGGCGGACATTTTTATTTAAATGCCGCGGGGGATATTTAAATCCCCCGCGGATTTCCCTATTACGATCTGAAAAATTAGCATGCCCCTTCCGGAAAAGGGGCCAATGTAGACGTAGCC